AGAAATGTGCTAAGGAAAAACTCTCGCCTTCTTTTCCCTACAAGGTTCTTTATTTTCTTGAACATGAACCATGTTTGTCAAGGATTACATAGTGCCACTTCACATGATCCTACTTATTTTGAAAAAGTGACATGCCTAGTTAAAAAAAATGCAAATGGCATAAGAATTATAGATGAGCATCTAAGATTAACTACCAATTAAGAAACACTTCTATGGGGCCTCAGGCTGCAACCTAAGTTGTGACAGGGGATTTGAAACATTACTGATATTGTACTGCTATGGCTGGTAACCTTATGTATATTGACAGCTCTTAACAGACATTAACAGGAGAATGTCGGCATGGACCTCAGACTCCCCTTTCCCCAGCGGTATGAACCTTACTGGTGTAAATTCAGGGAAGTGCTGTCACTCAGAACCAGAGTTTCTTTGGCCTGGAGAATGGGAGTACTCATGGGGTTTCATAGGAGAGAAAGGAACTTCTTACCCTTCCCTGTGGTAAGTCAGTGAATAATTGGTAGGAAGTCCTCCATCTGTCCCAGGCCTCCACCAGCAGGTGAATGTTTCCTTATTGGGAGAACGACATTTAAAGATCTCAGGTTTTCCAGGAGGTAACTGTCCTAGAAAAAGCCAGAAACCACTGCATCAATATTGAGGTCCATTTAACCATTTGATCCTTCTGTTGATGACAGAAACAGATTGATGGGACCCAAGCCAGTGATGAAGCCTCGGGTGAGGAGACCTAGGGTAGATGCTCAGAAATGCCCAGCATCAGCATGCAGCAACACTCCCCTGTGGGCTGCCCTGATGTTGGCAGGGCTCTTAGACAGCTTTGTGCTGGGGTGTGTGTGTGTGTGTGTGTGTGTGTGTGTGTGTGTGTGTGTGTGTGTTTGCATACTTCGAGATGGAGATACCAATAGCCTATGTGAGGGCTAGTGACCAACTGCAAAATTTCAACAAAGAGTGAGCCTGAAATGCAAGATAGACACATATGGGTTGAAGAGTGTGTGGTGGCCCTTTTGTAATACCACGAGGTCTGTAAAGCTGATACCCTCCCTCAGTCTAAGGGGACCATACAAAGAATCCTTCCCAGGTATGAGCAACCTGCAGACACTTTGGCGAAACACCACTCTATGGCACTTCTCCACTCTGCTCACCAATCTCCATCTTTCTGCCATCCCCACGCAATGAACTCAACTTGTTCCTGATCTTCTGTCCATTCACTGCATCTCTGAAGCTCTCCGTATCTAGGCGTCCCTTCCTTGAATTTTTTTTTTTTTTTTTTTTTTTTTTGAGATGGCTCTTGCTCTGTTGCCCAGGCTGGAGTGCAGTGGTATGATCTCGGCTCACTGCAACCTGTGCCTCCCGGGTTCAAGCCATTCTCCTGCCTCAGCCTCCTGAGTAGCTGGGATTACAGGCACACACCACCACACCCAGCTAAGTTTTTGTATTTTTAGTAAAAATGGGGTTTCATCATGTTGGTGAGGCTGGTTTCGAACTCCTGACCTTGTGGTCTGCCTGCCTCGGCCTCCCAAAGTGCTGGGATTACAGACATGAGCTACTGCGCCTCGCCACTTTTCCTTGATTTTATTCAGCTTTGATCTTGTGACCCAGACTCACAGTCTGTCTTCTCATCCACACCATCCCCGCTTCTGAATCTTGGTTTCTAGTCCTTTTTTCTCTTAGATTTTCCTCTCTTTCCTTTTTTTTTTTTTTATTTTTGTGGTGAGGTTGCAAAGGGCTTCCTTTGGATACAGAGGGCTTGAAGAGTGTGTGGCCCTTTTGTAATCTTGTAATCCCATAGGGTCTATAAAACTACAATTTGATGAATCTTTTCAGGGTAGGAGGTGTGATAAGAGGTAGGAGAGTGGCCAGCTCCTCTCCTGGTTCTGAGCAACCACTGCTTTCTAAGAGCTGTACCCAGTTCCAGACTGGACGCTAGAAGGTCTCGGTGAGGTGGTGTGAAAATACAGTACCAAGGTTGTAAAATTTTTAGTTGCCAAATCCCCAAAGCTTTTGGCAAGCGGGCCCCCATTTCTCTTGCTTGGATGTCAGGTTCAAAGAGGGACAGCAGAGCCCTGGGAGTTTGCCCTGATGCTGTGGGGCTGGGGAAGTCACCATGCTCGCCTACATGACTTCAGCTGGTCCTCTTTTTTGTCTAGCTGGGTGCTCTAGCACTGAGTTCAGGATATCAGGAGCAGAAAGGAGTGCTTTCAGAGGTGGGTCAGCACCTCTGGGGGTTCTCTCTGTTTTCTCTACTCCTTATGCAGGCTCCAAGGGCAGAGTTTCTAGCTGAGCATCAGATCAGAAACAGCAGGTTAGGAGGAGACCTCAGTGAGGGGAAATGCATGGAAAGAGGGTTCTCTAGGCAGAGCTGGCCAGAAAGAGGAATTTAGCAGAATGGCATGTTGTGGGACACAGGCTAGAGCCCAGGACACCAGACTGGTAGTGTCAGCTGGAGCTCACCTACCCTCCTGCTCACAGGCCCTGCTGAAACCCGTCCTTGCCAGCTCGGGTCAGCTCTGCCAATATTTGTAACGTTGCTCATCCTCTAGGGACAATTTATTCAGGATAATGTGTTGCTGGGAGTCACAGCAAGAATGCAAGTTTTTGTTTTGCTTTGTTTTTGTCATGAGTGGGGAGAAGTGCGTGAAGTAGAAGGAAACGTTTATCTAAAAAATCCAAAGCCTATGGTTCCATAATGAGCACACTCAGAAGCCAATTAGGGTGATCATTGATTTCTTGAGTATTTAGTTTCTCTTGTGGGTCATTCTGACCTCTGCTTTCCCCTTTTTCTCTCTCTGAAAGCTTCTCTTTCTTATTTTACTGTTTATTAATAGTACCTTCGGGAAACTCAAGAAAGGAAGGTAGATTTGTAAAATTACAATTAGACAAATGTTTCCTTCATCTACATTAGAGGAATAAGTTAAAATCTCAATGCACAGAAACACAAAGAAAACCACACAGGAACCACACATACAGGTATGTAGACGCCCACACAGAGCCCGCATCAAAAGTACACACACACCACACACACAGAAATATACACAGGTGCATACTCATGTAAGTACATACTGATACGCACACAGGTACATGCAGAGAAGTGTGCACTTACAGATATCCACAGAACACACACAGACATACATAAAAGTATATACATACAGGTTCAGACAGAGAAGCATTTACAGTCAGGTCCATATAGAAAAGTTAATATATACACAGGTACATATAGAAGTTTGCACACCCAGAAATGCATAAGGGTTGACATACAGAAGTGTATATTCACAGGCACCCCCCATCTCATTTAGCTGTGGACTTCATTTCTCCTATTAGCACAGATAATAGAGTTGGCTGTACCTGCTTCCCACCATGTAACAGCAACCTCTTATATCCCATCATGGTTTTTCAAAGAGTTTTCATATACATTATTTCATCTGCAGTAGAGGAAACATCACTATCCTCACTTTGAGAATTTGGAAACCCAGAGAGTTAGGTAATTGGCTCTAGGTCACACAGCTAGAAACTGGCAGGACCTGGATTAGAACTCAGGTCTTGTCTTCTTCAGAGCTGTTTTTTTTACACTCCTGAAATGAGGACAGAAGGCAGAAAGCACAGTGACAAGATTTTGCATTAATTGCGTTAATTTTTCTGCATTAACTTTAATGCAAAATATTGCAAATAATTCAACAGCAGCACATAACACAGAATTTTCATTTTTCATGACAGCATTGCAAGAACATTGCAATGGACTCTCCACCCTGTTGACAAACACCCCAGGCAATGAAAGAGAGCACCATAGTCTCTTACTTACCATTCAGAAGGCAGGTGTTGAGAAAAAGTAGCAGAGTGACAACAGTTGCAGATATCACATTTTCCTTCATGTTGGCTGCCTTCTCTTGCTACAGGAAATGTATCAGAGGTTCACTGGAAAAGAAGGTGTCAGGTAACTTTTGTGAAATGGCAGTCTGGTCAGGCACATCCACCACTTTGTTCTAGGTGTTTGCAACTGATTGTTGCTCCTTGCTTAATGAGAATGACAAAATAGGAGGAAAGGAATGTAGGAAAATATAACAGGGTCGGATGGTTTGGCACAGAAACATCAATTCACACACGCTGGGAAAAATTCTACCACCAGAGGTCCTCAGATGACAAGGTAGAGAGGTCAAGGGGAGTCAAGGCAGTCAGTTTCTTTGCACACACCCCAGAGAAAAATTGTTCTCTTTCCACCCCATAGCCACCTAACAATATATCATCCATCTTACGTAACACAGATTGTATGTCCTACAGGAGAATCCTTCTATGAGGGCTCTTGCTCTGGTCCATTAGCCAAAAATTGTCCAGGCCGAAAAATCAGTACCCTTAGTACAATCTCATCCTAACCATGCTGATTCCACCAAACTAGGGAGGCTTTGAAGGTTCAAACTGAGAAGATTCTGGAAGTCTTCTGGGTTATATGCATTACCGCAAAGCGAACCACACAATGAACTCTAGTGAATCTCCACGTGGTTTCTTTCTCCTGTTTGGAAAGCCCCATAAACAAAAGATAATAAATTCTGGTAATAATTTAAATCCCTTGGGTTCAGAGTATTAAGTAAATTTTGAACCTGCAGGGGTTGGAGTTTGGAGCAATTTATTATTAGAATTATTATTGTTACGCTTGGGACAACTTTCAAAGCCTCTAAATGTCCTTCTAAGAAAAAGGAATTTTTAAAGACATTTGGAAAAAAGGCTCATTAGTCTTGTTGAACTTCAAACAACTCAGAAAACAATAGATTTGGTGAACTAAGTGTAAATTCTTAGAAATGCACGACTTAAGTTTCTCTTTAAATTTTTATTGTTTTATTGGTTGTTGTTGTTTTCTTTTTTTTTTTTTTTTTTTGAGATGGAGTGTTGCTCTGTTGCCCAGGCTGGAGTGCAGTGGCGCGGTCTCGGTCACTGCAAGCTCCACCTGCCAGGTTCATGCCATTCTCCTGCCTCAGCCTCCCGAGTAGCACCTGTTGTTGTTTTAATCAAGGGAAGAACATTCAGGATAAAAGCTTTGCATCGTGGAACATTTAAAATGTCTGAATGTGTTTGATGAGCCCCTAAAAGACCAGCCGTTGCTACTGCTCCTTGCGGGACATACTCAGAAATGGAGAAACCATAGCAACAGTAGAGGTTTGGCCACCCAGGTACCATCAAGTAACTCTTTTATACTGAGGCTCCAGCTTCAATAAAGGATCCTGGTCCAGCAGTGGATCCTGTGAGGTGACCCGTATTTTGTTCTTTTGGGGACCTTCTACCTGCTCCTGCAAGATTCCTTCCAAACAAACGCCCTCTCAGGGTGCACTTTCTAAATCACCTGCTCCATCTCACCCCTGAGGGTCATTTAATTAAAATCAAGTGGTTAAAGGCTTCTGATGAGTTTAAACTAATACCTACCACTTCTGGAGCATCTGTTATGGGCAGGCACTGGGGAAAGTTAAGTACCTTAATCATGGAAATCTCATTTTGTTATCACAACAGTCCTGTGAGGGGGTACAGGTTTTAACAGATGAGCAAATGGAAGTACAGAGATTTAGTAGATTGTCAGTCACATGCCCATTTGGAGAAAGACATCTGGGAAACCTGAGAGCCACTGAGAGATCATCCTGACTTTTGGAAAGTCTGTGATGGGGGTGCAATTATTCCCCCTCTGTGGGAGAGATGGTGGCGACAACAGTCACTGATCCAAGGTGAGCAACATCAAGCCTTGGGTAAGTGTGGCATTCTGAGTAGGGTCAGGAGAGCCAGACCCGAGAGAGCCCTTCTCAGCTACTACCCTACTTATGCCCAAGGACCTCAAATACTGTAGATCTCATGAATCCAGCCTCATCAGGTACATATAACTCCAAATAGTTCTTTATCCTGTTGATCTGGTGATCTCAGCCTGGCTTAGAGATTAGATTCTACCCACTGGCTGAAGACTTCCTATAATATCCCTTTATTGAGACTTCCTTTCTCTTCTGGGCATTGCACTGACATGCTTAAGATCAACATGCTATAAATCAGACCTTCCTGGTTGGGTGCTATCTAGAGAGCTTTGCCAAAGCACCGCTCCATGCATATTGCAAAAGAAACTCTGGGATGGCAAGCAGAGTGGGTCAGGCAGTGGTAGATATTAGATACTGTCATCTGCTTATATGTTCTCATGTGCTACTACAGGATCAAAGAAACTCTCCTAAATAAAGGTTTCCTATAATAATGTCTTCAGGAAGTATTCTATGAATGAAAAAAACTTCCCTTTGGGATTTCCTGAGACACATCCTGGAATCTAGTTACTACTATGCACTTTCAAATGCCTGAAACCCCCATGCCAGGGAATTAGACATACTCACAGTGGTGTCATGGTTGTGTTTCAACAAGGATTTCCCAACTCATCCTGCATTTTCCTCCCAGGAAGGCAAACACAATGGGGGTAATTTAACCTTTAGAGAAAGACAATCACAACTTCTGACCCCTAAAGGGGCTATGCTAAATGTTAATTAACTCTAATCACACAAGGAGATGCTTCTCAGCACTAAGCACATCTGTTGATCCATTGCCATTTTTTTTTTTTTTTAATGACTGGCAGACACTAAGCTGGAATAAATTAGGTGTTTGTCTCTCTGAGTCCCCCCTGCATTGCACTCAAGATCTTGATCAAGGGCTGGCATGGCCCTTCTTATTCTCTCCCAATTGGGACTGGAACATCCAATGAGAGTCCTCATCTTTTTAAGATGTTATAGCAGCAAATGGCTCCAAATATTTGTAGTACAGTTAGCAAAAAGTCAGCCTCATACATCCTAGGGACTATCATCTTAAGCTTCACTCCTCAGCAGCTCCTTGGTTGTGACTGAGGGTTAAAAATGCAAGTGATGATGAGCATTTTTTCATGTGTCTGTTGGCTGTATGAATGTCTTCTTTTGAGAACCGTCTGTTCATATCCTTTGCCCACTTTTTGATGGGGTTGTTTGTTTTTTTCTTGTAAATTTGTTTGAGTTCTTGGTAGGTTCTGGATATTAGCCCTTTGTCAGATAAGTAGATTGCAAAAATTTTCTCCCATTCTGTAGGTTGCCTGTTCACTCTGATGGTAGTTTCTTTTGCTGTGCAGAAGCTCTTTAGTTTAATTAGATCCCATTTGTCAATTTTGGCTTTTGTTGCTGTTGCTTTTGGTGTTTTAGACATGAAGTCCTTGCCCATGCCTATGTCCTGAATGGTATTACCTAGGTTTTCTTCTAGGGTTTTTATGGTATTAGGTCTAACATTTAAGTCTCTAATCCATCTTGAATTAATTTTCATATAAGGAGTAAGGAAAGGATCCAGTTTCAGCTTTCTACTTATGGCTAGCCAATTTTCCCAGCACCATTTATTAAATAGGGAATCCTTTCCCCATTTCTTGTTTTTCTGAGGTTTGTCAAAGATCAGATGGCTGTAGATGTGTGGTATTATTTCTGAGGACTCTGTTCTGTTCCATTGGTCTATATCTCTGTTTTGGAGAAATAGGAACACTTTTACACTGTTGGTGGGATTGTAAACTAGTTCAACCATTATGGAAAACAGTATGGCGATTCCTCAAGGATCTAGAACTAGAAGTACCATATGACCCAGCCATCCCATTACTGGGTATATACCCAAAGGATTATAAATCATGCTGCTATAAAGACACATGCACACGTATGTTTATTGCGGCACTATTCACAATAGCAAAGACTTGGAATCAACCCAAATGTCCATCAGTGACAGACTGGATTAAGAAAATGTGGCACATATACACCATGGAATACTATGCAGCCATAAAAAAGGATGAGTTTGTGTCCTTTGTAGGGACATGGATGCAGCTGGAAACCATCATTCTCAGCAAACTATCGCAAGAACAGAAAACCAAACACCGCATGTTCTCACTCATAGGTGGCAACTGAACAATGAGATCACTTGGACTCGGGAAGGGGAACATCACACACCGGGGCCCATCACGGGGAGGGGGGAGGGGGGAGGGATTGCACTGGGAGTTATACCTGATGTAAATGACAAGTTGATGGGTGCTGATGAGTTGATGGGTGCAGCACGCCAACATGGCACAGGTATACATATGTAACAAACCTGCACGTTATCCACATGTACCCTAGAACTTAAAGTATGGAAAAAAAAAAAAAAAAGCAAGTGGTAGATCTGAGAAGCAGGTTTTTAGTAAGTTTGCAGCCCCTACACCTTGCCCATGGCTAGCTGCCTTGGTTTCCGTGCTTCCCAATCCTCAAAGACTCTCTTATCCTTATGATCCTCCCCTTAGCTTATTCAAATATGCCTTCCCACCAAGCTGTGGCCCACTGTGGTATGAACACCAAGAAAAGTTCCTTCTCCCTCGTGTTGCTCGGCGTCAATGTTGATCCTGTTTAGACCTTCTCTTTCCAAAAGCCTCTCTTCATTCTCCCTTCCATTAAGCCAAGTGTCTTCCACAGAGGCCCACAGTTGAGAAAAAGGCCCAGCAGCTTGTGCTTTTGAGAAACTAGAGCCAGTCTCCCCACATGGAAAATCGGGGCCACACTCCTATGGCCTGGGCTGACCATACTATTCACATTAGGGGGGGAATGCCATAGGACAGGAGGAAATATGGCCTCATGAGAGTCAAAAATAAACCAGATCTGAGCTCCCAACATGCCACTCCCCACTGTCAACCCCTCGTCCTCTGCAATACCCTCTCTTAGACTTCACCTTTATGTTCTGAACAATGCATTGCCCAAGTCAATCCTGACTGCGAGCAATCTTAGCCCTACCATTCTGTGGAACTTACTTCCAAGACTGGTATCTGGTGATCCCCCTGAGTACAGTCCTCAACCTGTCCTGCCATATCTGTTGCCATAACCTTCTACTCAGGTTTTTGACTCAGTTTTCCTGACTCCCGAAATGGACCTATCATTAGGGTCCGG